TAAGGAAAAAATTCTAGCAAATAGATAAAAATTAGACAAGTATGTTCTCGCTGTAATAGAAAATATGTATGTATCCAAATGCAGCGTGTTTCGAATATAATCAATTGAGGCATAATGATAATTTTCTTTCTTCTATATTCACAAATATTATCTTGTCATACAGACATACATACATACATACATACACTCACGTACAGACACGTGCATATACATATGTATTTAGAGATATCATTCAGCTCTTTTCCTCCTTATCTTTCAATGATTTTATTTTTCGACCTAACATATCATAAATGGTAGGATTTGGTTCTGTTTCCTGATCTGTATCAGAACTACAATCACTGTCACTAGAGTTATTATATGTTCCAAGACCAGGTAATATACCGATACATTTGAGTCCGCTATGTATGTAATTTGTATTTACTTGATTTGGTATAGCCTTATCGTTTTGTTTATCTGTTTCAGGACTAGAAAGAAAAGAATCCGCGCGTGCAGCTGGCTCACAAGATGTATGTGGCTCTTTCTTTTTGCTAGTATCAGTATTATCTTTGGAAGGAGACAATTTTCTTTTTATTCCTTTAAGTACTTCTTCTGCATGAATAAACAATTAAATAATAAATATAATTATATAGAATATTGTTCAACTTTTTCATAAAATATTTTTAAAACTTTACCTTGTTTTTGTTTGTCAGGTCGTTTCAATACGACGCCTGCGGGTAATTTTAACTGTGAAGTGCGACTACTAAAACATAATTAAAATAGAATAATTTTATTATATTATTAAATATATTTCAGAAGTGATCTCTGGACTTAAATTTTATATTCAATATTACAGCTTTCAAAATAGAGAATCACTGTGATGTTATATTATAATGAGACAAACATATTATTATATAGTCATATTATATTTTAATTTGCCTCTTACCTTCCACAGGCAGCATTTTTATTGCTAACAGGTGGGTTCTTCAATTCTTGCTTTAATTTTTCATTTAATTTCTGTTCTTGAAGAGAAGCAACTGCAGCTTTAAAATCGCGCATTTCTTTTTCTTCCTCAAGATTCTTTTTACGTTCTTCTTCCATCTTAGTTCTATCAACCAAGTCCAAAAATTCTACTTCATCATCATCCAATCCTTTGATCATATTTTCTAGAAAAATATATATGTATATATCAAAATGTTTTTCGAATATCATTTTAGATGTCAACAATAGAATTGAACATTAGAAATAGTTATAGTTAAAAATACTGATATTTCTATAATGTTTGACATAATTTTCATTCATTTTAAATCATTAGCACAAATATTATTAATTTATATACATAGCAAAAAAAGGACAGGACAAATTTAAAAAAAAAACGTATAAAGAAAAAGATTATTAATTCTATTATTTATCTCTTCAATATTAAAATAAGATAAATCAATTTACTATATTAGGGATCACACATACATGCATATACACAAATCAAAATATTGAATTTGTTATAGATCCATAATTCAAGTAAAATCAATTTCACTTTTTTACTTACTTAATTTATGAGCTTCTTCATACTCTATGTCTCTTTTATTTTTCTGTTCCTGCAATCTCTCATACAAGGATCTAGGATCATAAGATTCCTCTGGAGCCTCTATAAATCGTTAGATAAACGAGACACTTATCAGTTATTATTCATAAATACTCACAATCGATGAATTTACTTTAATAAATGTCATAATACAATGCCTAATCCTCAATTTGAATACAATTCCGTAGGAGTGGCTGTATAAATATGTATATAGACAGAACACTAAAGCTAACCTATAGGCTGATCGGCAGTCCGTACGCGTTCCCATTCCTCCTGTCGCATTCGCCGTTGTTCGGCGATTTCGGCTTCCGAGATGAAACCCGAGCTCATTTTCACTGTTTGTAAATAATGTCTTGATGAAAAACAATCCACAGCACTAGCAAATGTTTCTTTCCAACACGTCTCGATAAATTGAGTGAAACCAGAGCGAAACCTGAGAGAGGCTATGCCGGCCTTTTTCCTGTTACCATCGAAATTGTCCGTACACTACCGCCAGTACATCCATTTTCAGTTTGAGAACTACGTGATTACATACATTTTCTGACACTATTGATAAAATCGTATTGTCAAAAATAGATGTGGTTCGTCTCTATACTAAATCCTCAGGACAGAAAGATGTCGACTATTCATAGAAGAGATAGTTTAATAGGTCCTCGAACGAAAAAAATTTTAAATTCGCACCTCCTACATATATAAATAAAAGTTGTTGAATTTTGAGGGTTAAAAGAAACTTTTTCTGATTAAATATTTTACCCAGCAAACGAGAATGGATTAAAATGAATTGAAATGGATTCAAATTTTCAGAAATATTGATTCACGAATATTAAAATGAATGCTTTTCAATTCTGAATGCATTTTTATTTTATAGAAATTGCATAGAGCATATCTCTATGCCTTTCAATCTAAAAATAATATTAGCTTTTTCTGCACACAAACATAATTGTGAATACTGTTTATATTTAAATAATTCAAAATTTTAAATAGGAAATGCAGTTTTTCAATCCAATTGAATCTAATTGAATCCAATTGAATTCAATTAAATCCAAAAAAAAGTATTCGCTATTTAAAATACGCTTTCGGATAGAAAAAAAATTTCAATCCATTTTAATCCATTCTCGTTTGCTGAATTCCGAGTATCTTTTATTCTTGTTCTTCATCGAATGTTGAACAAGGAAAAGGTACTCGAAGTTGATAGAGTCGAGTTTTGGAACGCGTCTAACTATTGAAATAATAACGAATATTACAAATAAGTATTCTTTCTAATATAGTAAATAATATATTCCTTATATTTTTAATGTTCTTTCAGCAAACGAGAATGGATTAAAATGGAATTGGATTCAGTTGGATTCAATTAGATTCAATTGGATGCAATTGGATTGAAAAACTGCAACATTTCCTTTTGAATTGAACAGTATTCATAATTTTGTGCACAAAAAAAGCTAATATTATTTTTAGATTGAAAAGCATAGAGATATGCTCTATGCAATTCCTATAAATGAATAAAAATGCATTTAGGATTGAAAAGCATTCATTTTAACATTTCGTGAATCTGAAAATCTAAATCCATTTCAAGTCATTTCAATCCATTCTCGTTTGCTGGAAAGTTATGTTTCTTTATGCTAAATTTTTAGAAAATTATTTTCATCCTGGAAAGTTATTCTTCGTCGCTTTTCGTGAAGTCTATTCGCGAAGTCTAATTTATTGGTGTCTCTTCAGGGATTTTTGTACAGAATCGGAATAAATCCCAAATTTTCTCGTCTATAGTTACTGGAAGTAATAATTTTGTCAATGAATCAATGACAATTGCTATGTATTTTAAAGTCAAGTTGCAAAATTAATTCAGTGATATATTTTAGCATATAATTTTCGTCACTTTCTTTGTTTTATTAAATGTTCTCCCATTAGTAATAATAATGTTAATAATATTACTGTCTTAATTTAACAATAGGAATTTAATATTATGTGATTAATATTAATATATAATAATTATTGTTTAAATCCAAATTATTAAGTAAATAAGTTTTATACACAAAATTTGCTTATTTTTGATGATCGCTCTAACAAAAATATGATTACGAATGTGTATATTCATTTTCTAATTGTTATTTTTAAAATCATTTTTAGGTATTGGACATCCCGCAATTGCAGAATATTATTAATTATTAATTTATATGTTTATATACTTTTCTATGATAAAATACATGCAGATATTATGAGATTATACAAATTTTAATCTTTATCGATTTAGATAATTTTTACCAAAATACTTCATATTTTTTTAACAATATTATTATTTGTGAATATTACATGAATTTAATTAAAAATGTATGTGTAAATAAAAAATTCGAGATAAGTCGAATGGATACTCTTATATTAGGGATATTAATCCATTAAAAATCCCTCCTATGAATACTCGACACGCTTCTATCCTGAGGATTTAGTACAGAGACAAACTACATTTACTTTCAACGATACGATTTTATCGATGGTGTCAGAAAATGTATGTATTCACGTAGTTTCCAAACTAAAAATGAATGTACTGATGCTATTGGCGGTAATGTACGGGCGATTTCAATGGAATAGAAAAAAAAACGGCATGGCCTTTCTCTTTAGTACGAACAATTTGCGAACACAACGAACTTTAGATGGCTAAAATCATTCAAAATGCTTGAAAGATAAAGTCAAATATTTAAATTATTAGATTAATTATTAAAATCTATAATTGTTACACGCGCCCATAGATATGTAATAATCAGTGTAAAACTAATGAAAAAAAACTATCTATGATGCCATTTTAAAAAATATGTAAAATTCATTAAGTATTTTATATTTTTTAATTATCTATTAAAAAATGTTTATGCTAATCTTTTATAAATTGAATATTTTAATTTTAAAAAAATACAATATATTTATCACATATTTCTTGCAAACTTTTTGGAATAAACAAACTATCATTTATATAAGAAAAATTCATTATATTTTCAACTCTTTTATAAAACAATACAAATATTAACATGAATCACATAAAATTAAAAATATTATAGTCTAGACATAACTAAAAAGTTAAATGAACGTGAAACATTAAAAAAATACTATAGTAAAACACTAAGAAGATTGTCATAATTTATAAAATGAGAATTAAGTGATATTTAACACTTAAATATAAAATTAAAATATTTCTGGATAAAAATATTTTGTTAATTAACTATATATTTAAATAAGATTTATTTGTATGAACAATTTTAACTTTTTAGCTTTACATCCAGATATTATAATATTTTATACCTTTTTATATATTATATTTTATCTTAACTACTTCTAATTAAATTCTAAATTTTTAACATCCACCTCTTATCATATTTAAAATAGATCCCTTCAATTTCTATGAATATATTATCACCATACAGTGTCTGCAAATTCAATAAGCAGAAGAAAACTTAATGGAAGTACGACTATTTGTAAATAATAACCCACTGAAAATAAATTGATGCAAATTCCGCTTGAGTGCTGGGATATAGGATATCGTAATCTTTACTTTTCAAGTTAATCAGGTCTCTGAGATTTATTCGTAATAATTGTCTATGTATACCTAATGCCTTGTAAAATATATCATTGTATTATGTAATTTGTATTTGTTCAGAAAATATCTAATTAAAACTTGATTTTTCCTTGTTGAATTTGATCATAAACTTCTAATGTTAATAACTGATAACCGAGCTTTGCATTTAAATAATATAGTTTGTCTTGAACTTTGTATGGATTATATCCTTCCTCCTGGAGATCTTTCTTTTTCAGTTTAAATGTTCCTGCAAATCGTGAAATATGAATAATTTTCTAATGTAACTTATTGTTAGTTCAATATATTAACATATTCGCTTCATATATTTCGAAAGTGCAAAATTAAGTGCACTTCGTAATTTAGCTATTCTCTCTTAATATATACTATTTATTTTATATTAGCTAATAATATTCAATGCTTATTTTCAATACTTACACTCATATTTAATACATATTTCATAAGCATATTTTTTGAAATACATATTTTAATTAAAGTTTGCACAACTTGTAGACTGCAAAAATATCGAGTATATTTATACATCTATATAAAAACATATACCTGTAAGATCAATTTTTGTCAAAATTCTGACAAATTGCGGCCTAGCATAAGCAGGTAATTGTTCTTTGATGTCGACAGTTACTTTATTTATATCCAATGTTTCATCTGCATCGTAAATTGCTGCCATTCCTGCTTTGCCTTCAGTATCTTTAATCTGTCGATAATCATTATTATCTTATCTACTATTAAATCATATTTATACATTGTAATATTGTAACTCTAATGTTAATTCAGTTTATTAAGATTTTTTTGTATCAACATGCTAATATAACATTATAAATATACACAAATAATTTTTCTTACAAAAAACTATTTGAAAAACGAAAATGAAATAATTATTACCTCCACACCGTATACTATGCAATCTCGATAATTAATAAAATTACTAATAATGGCTTCAATTTCGGAAGTCGATACATTTTCTCCTTTCCATCTAAATGTATCTCCTGTTCTGTCCTTGAAATATAAATAGCCCCATTCATCAGCAACAAGAATATCCCCTAAATAAAATTACAATCAAATTCACAAAATTGTTTAACTCAATTTTAACAAATACAATTTTAACATTCTAAATTCTGTATTATAAATATAATTGAACAGCTCGTAAAACATGTACGAATGACTTTCTTCTTTTGTTAAACAAAATCTAAATTAATATTGTAGAAATATGTTTGAAATAATTATATTCCAAATAGTTACAAGTTAGGGTTTTAATCTATTTAATAAATAATAGATGTTAAATTTTTTATACATACCTGATAAAAAGGCAGAGTCGCCTTTTGTAAAAATATTATGAATCACTTTTTTCTCAGATGCTTTTTTGTCCACGTATCCTAAAAATGCCCTGGTTGGATTATTTGGCAAGATCTTTCCAATAAACGCACCAGGTTCATCTATTAAATGAAAGATTTAATTTATATTAACGATTAAGTTTTAAAATATTAGAAAAAATAACGCGAGCAATTATATTGATTGACAAAATTCTTATCTTATTCTGAAGTCAAGAAAAGATTACTCTTCTATTTTAAAATTGCATGTAATAATAATACTAAAATGTTAGATATCAAATAAAATTAGATTAAATATCTCATTTTTCCACTTAATATTTATTATAAAATAATCTGAAGATTGAGTGAGAGAGAGAGAGAGAGAGAGAGAGAGAGCACACACATCATCCGCTTTGATTATTCCCGATTTTTAAACAACCTCAATTCTCTAATTTTAAATATATTTGTTGTTGAAACACAATATTATAATCTTACTGATTAAAATTCATATAGTATATTTTACATGATTTTAAATGGCAAAAATATCAATTGTATATATTATTAATTGTATATATTATGTATGTAAATATATCTATGTGATGCATTTTCGTCAGAATTTTAATCAATATTAATCAATATTAAATTAATCAATCATGTCCAGTCAGCTCACTTGGTTCACAGATTTGACACAATCCTTTAGAGTTACGTATAGGTTCTCCATCCTCATCTACTTTAATCAGAGATACGGGATATGCTGATGGAATAATTCTTGAAAAAAAACCTATTGCTCCCATTTTGTTGTCAATGTTCACTGAAAACATTTTTTTAAAACGCTTCTATAATTCTACCTTTTTTAAAACTCATATATTATAAAAATAACAAATTAATTAATGCTCAACATTATGATTTATGTAATAAAATCTAATAAAAATTGTTTTGTTCATATTGAAATAATGTTGAATAACATCAAGTATGAATTGATGTTGATTGATACAATTATATTCATATAATATTTTATGTATACTTATGTAAAAAACAAAATATTAAACTAAGTATTTTGTACTTACTGACATTAGCATTGCCTTCAGTTGCACCATAAAATTCTAACACTTGTGGAATTTTGAATCGTTGTACAAATTCATCCCATATCTGCGGTCTTAATCCATTGCCGAAAATTAATCTAATATTATGTTCCTGATCCTCTTTTTTAGATGGAACTGCCAGAATATATCGACACATTTCCCCTATATATTGACTAACCTAATATTTTCCAAAATTTTATCTAAGATATAAATGATATAACTTATGCAACTTATTAATGATATGTACTTATTAATAATATGCACTTATGATATAACTTATGCAACTTCAGTCTCATTAGTATGTAATAAAAATCAAAGCAAAAAGAGAGTAATACAATTCATTTCATCAAATAAAAATATAAAGAATATCTATTAATTTTGCGTTAAGCTGTGTAGAATAAATTATCAAAAACTATCTCATCTAACATTTAATAATAAGATTGACAAACAATTAAACTTAAAAGAAACTTACAGTGCATTTATATTTAATACAGTCAGCAAAATATGCGCTAGCACTAAATTTCTTCCTAATCACTGTCGTATGTCCGTGTATTAAGGCTAATCCCACAGCCATTATTCCACCCGCTGTATGATATAAAGGCAAAGGTGTATATATTCTATCAGACTTACGCAAAGTTCCCATATAATGTAATGAACTCGTGATAAAGATATATCTATAAAAAATATATATGATATATATTATTTGTTTCATTCTCTGTAAAACTATCATTTTATTTTTTAATTTTGAAAAGATTTTTTTAATTTTTCGGAAATTTTAAAAGCTTTAGAAATTTTTCAAGCTTGCGTGAGTTAAAAAAATTCTTTTAGAAATCTTCATTTTTTTCTTTTCAAAATATTTTCTTAACAAGATTTAAGCTAGCGCTCTCTTCTGTATGCAAAAACTATTTTCCACATAGCCAAAATTCTTTGTGAAATACATCATAAACTCTATAACATTTTTATAGAAAAAAGGCCAAAATTTATGTGTAATATATCTACCTTGAATTTGTAATAACAGCTGCCTTTGGAAGACCTGTAGTACCACTAGTGTAAATGTACAAAAGTTTATCGTGATAACCACTTTTTTCTTGTATTCTTGGTGGTACAGCCGATGTGTCCAACAACAAGGTATTCAAATCTTTCTCTTTTAATCCAACTGACATTGTATTCGGATGATTTCCGAATCTGTACAATGTTAATTTAGCATCTAATGACGAGGCAATATCTGTCACAGCTGGAATTAGTAGCTTTCATTAGAATTAATAATTATCGAATTTTTCGATAATCTGAAAAACTGTTCAAGAAGAATGATTAATGAAAAAAATCAATTCTACATTTAGACGTTATTTTTGTATTCTTCGATTCTAATGTAAAATAGATAATAATTGTAAAGAAGGAAAGAAATAAATTTTTTCTCTGTGAATAAATAATATTGAAATAAATTTTATTTCAATATTAGATAATAATTATTGATTAGTATTCTTACCGTCAAAAAACTCGGTGCCATATATAAGCGCTTGACACTTTGCAATACTGATGCAATGCAAGAGACTGCTCTTACGCAAATTGATATTAATCAAAGAAGTTATCACACCGAGTTTATTTAAACCTAACCAAATCGCAATAAATTCCGGTCGATTCTCCAACAATAAAGCAATTGCGTCTCCTTTTTTATAACCATGTGTTTTAAATATCGTCGCAATTTTGTTACTAAAATCTTCTATCTGTTTAGAAAGTATTAATAGATGAGTATTCATGTGCTGTTCTTATCTTACGATCATTTTACGGTATGCATTAATATGTTTTATAACCAACCTTTTGATAAAAATATAGATATTAAATACAGTTTTAAATATAAAAACCGATTATGAATACCGATCAGAATCATATACAATTATATAGTATACTTAATATACTTAAAGTATAGATACTTAAAGTACAGATATGTGACAAAAGACTTTATATCCGAACAAAGCCAGAAAATCAGTTATTAAAAATTAAAATTGACATTGCGAGTGAAACATTACATAGAATATTACAACGAAATGACTATTTAGAAAATTTATGTAATTTGTAAATTCAAATCATATATTCTTAGAAATATAATGTATTTATATATAATTAAAATAATTAACAAATTGTGCTTTGATAAAAATTTATTCGTCGAGTGGAAAAGCGTGGAAAAGAATTAATCGAATTCTTATAAGTTTGCCAATTTTAGAATCATGTAAGGCCTCGCTAATTTCATAATATATATATATTAGGTATGGGAAAAAGTTCGTGGCGTTTTTCCCGTTAGATTTCCCATTAAAAAAACGCCACGAACTTTTTCCTACACCTTATATATATATACGTACAAATTAAATCTTTTTCTTCTCTTTGGAAGTATCAATTAAATTTAAAGTGTCTTTATTGAATAAAATATAGTTTATGAATAAAAATAGTGTCCTTTTTCTATAAAAATAAGTGCTACCTGTTGAAAAGTCCATTCTTGATCTTCAAATATAAAGCAGATTTTATTAGGATGACGTTTGACTTGTTGTCTAAATATATCGGCGACGTTTCTGTTTTTTCTTCCATGACAGTGTGCTGACTGCAATATTCTAATATATCCTACAAGTCCTCTGGAAAAAAGTGAAAAGTGCTCAAGAAAAATAAGTTCCACAATTGAAATATTCATTCTTGTAATCAAGAGAATATATTTTATTTAAGATATGCTATTTAGTCTATTACTTAAGAATAACTTTTAAAGTTTATATGTTAATAATGTTTGAAATGAAAAAGCAATATATCCACTGAAAGAGTTTAATTATTTTATATCAAATTTTATTTAGATATAAAAGACGATATAAATTTAAGATATTTATAATGCCTGTATTATTTTATTTGATATGTTGCATTATATTTATTCTATAATTCTTGATTGACTCAATAATAAATTCTCAATAATAAATTTATAAAACATGCATAGTATTTTTGTCGATATGGACGATTACGTTGAATGGCCAACTAAGAAATTCCGTTACATGTTCTCGAGGTCAAGAAAAGAGGATGCTACGTTCACTTAGCAATACTGCAGAAGAACAGCAAGTTATAAAAAAGAGGCAGAAAAAAATATTCCTCATTTTATTTTATTGTAATGAATAGGATTAAGGCTAATGAGAAAGTCAGCGCGAAAATATATACGTATAAATATTTCTTAAATAACCCGCTAGCGGTTATCTAATAAAGAGATTTGTGTTATATTCACATTGTTTTGTACAACAATTATATTTTATCCAATTTCTTTGTAACTTTCATTAGCCTTAATCTTATTGTTATTTATTATTTTAAAGTTTATTATTTTAAAGTTTGAGAATCTGATTTAAATTATTATTTGTTATTATATTATTGTACTTTCCAAGCATACGTTCATGAAACAAATCCTTTTTGTTTTCACTCTTAAATCCTTTACATTAGTCTCATGTTTTGGCATGTCTACATATATATTTATTTCCTAATAATACATCTAATAATATTGCTATCTTATTAAAATAATGTGAATTGATAATTTAAATAATTAGACCATAACCAATTTTCTTTAAATTTTCATATTGTAAATTGAATAGTTTTGATCATGGCCGAAACCTAGATTTCAATCACGGCCACGATAGTTTTGATCATGACCATGACAATCAAATCTATAATCATGGTCATGCTTATATAGTCACGGTCATAAATTAGAACTACAATGAAAAAAATGTATGTTCAAAGATTCAAATCACTGCAAACACGCGAAAACATATTTCTCTGTTGATATGTTTCTCCAGAATGAAATGAGACGAAAATAAAATATTATAACATTATATTATAAATTTTTTATTTTTATAATTTTTTGAGATTTTTTATCATTAAAGCTCAATAAACTTTTCTATGAGATCCCAAGCAGGACAAGTCATTATGATATCAAAATCATTCCAAAATAATCATTAAAAGTCATTTTTCAATCATTTCCGATTTATTTTAATGTTATTTTGACATTATCGTGATTTATTGTTCTGCTTGGGATTAAGAATTCATTGAAAATTTAATCGTTATGAAATATTAACATATTGTACATGATAAATAAAAAGAAAAAGAAAACGTCACATTTTTTTTTCTTTCCATTTCTTATGGACACTGTTATAAAATAAACATCTTGAAAAAGTAAGTATCTCGTTATTTCTATAAAAACACTAATACATGTCTCATAGATGAAAGAAAAATTATAGTATGCGAATAAATAATGTTAAACAACATTAAACAACGTTTATTTAATAGAATATTTTAAAAAGAAACTAGACAAGTTTTTATTTATTTATTGTATTATGACAATTATGTTTTATGTACGTGGGTCGTTTGATAAGTTTGGTAAATCTCTATGAAATGTCATCAAATGGATTGTAGCGCCATTGCATGGAAATTTATCAAACTTATCAAACGACCCACGTATTTATAAGAATATTAAACACACAATTCTATGATTATATTTATTAAATGTATCCGTGTTTATACATGCAAATTCTTGTTATATTCATATCAAAGTTTACAAAATAACTTGTGCATAAATAAACTAATTAAACTTTAATTGATTTGAGAGCAAAAATATGTATACAAATGTAATTATCATAACATTTGAGACTATAAATAGTACATGATCTCTACTTCAATTTCTCAGCTGTCTTTTTTACATATACAAAAAAATGAAGTAAAAAAATACAAGGAAATAAACTTTTTACTCTTTTTTACTAGACTTCGTCTAACCGCGCTTTACTTTTCGATTTACTTCTACTCTGTCATTTTCTTACTTTAATTTTTAATATGCCTTGTATATTTAGTTTCCGGTGAAAGTTAGAGATAGAGAGCATTTTATGACACCGATAATTTTTCGCGCGTATCTTCTATTCCACCATAACATAATGTTTAAAAAATTAATAAAAATCCATAATATACTCATAAGATAAAATTACTTCTAATAACTTCTATTTATATTTACGTAAAAGAAAAAATGCCTTCCATTTTAAATCTATAAATAAATATGTTTTTCTTTAATGTAATTCTTTAAAAATGTAAATTTCTGTAATAATAACTGTAAACTTTTTTTATGAATCACCTATATATACATTTTATCTATGTATACCATCTATAATACATTTTAAACAATTCTGTGAGCAAAGAAAAAATATATTACAATTTATCGTCAATAAATTTATAGTCAAATAAATTTATAATTAAATTATAATAAAAAAAGAACTATTACAAAAAACAAAAATAAAATATTTTTGTATTATATTCTTTGTTTACGTACTCACAAAATTTACATATGCGATGCGCTTTGTCTTCAAATTGATTACTAATACTCATTTCCATCAACATAGATTAATTTTAATTTCTAATTTATTCTTCATTTCAATGAAGAGTGAATTAAATTAAGATTAAAGCTAAAATGTACATTGATAGAAACGAACATAAGTCATATATACATCCGATTGAATTGTGCGTAAATCAGAAATTGTTAATGACATTCATCTTATTCCCAGACGAAGTTTAATAATAAAATTTTGTATGAAATTAGCTCCCTCATATATTTTGTAAAAAAAGGAATATAAAAACAAAAACAAAGCTGCTCAGTCTAGTTAAATTCAATTATTATATTTGCGCAAATTCTTAAGGACTTTTGAAAACTTTGGAAACGATGAAAAAAAATCTGTATATAATAATGTATTGTAAAAATCAATTTAATAAACGTACAGCACAAATATTTTATATCTTGTGTACATTAAGGGATGTCGAAATATAACAATTTGAAAACAGAAGGTTACGCCAATGTCCAGTTCCTGTATGTCTACTAAAGCTACGTAGTATGAGAAGGAAATTCACTGGGTTTTTTATTTTTCCTTATTTTTATCACATCTCCAATAGCGTGGCTTTCGATAAGATTATTTAACGTCTGAATCTTAACGATTAATGTCATTGTAAGCAAGATTTATTGTTATGTACAATTATAAAAATTACAAGGCTGTAATCTTTGATATAGTGATTAGCATTATATAAATAAATCTTTATTCTATAGAACGTATATTACAACTAAATGAATGATACAATTAAAGTTGAATAGACTCTCATTTTTAATGATGCGTGATAAATTCTTTATACAACAGACTTAAACAACAAACAACTAATCAACAATTGAAAAACAAGTACAATAGATAAAATAGAAATTTTTCTTGACTCACTTGCAATCCCGTGATATTGTCTTCAGAGCAACATAGAACCATCTCATGCGGCCACCGGCGACAAAGTAGGCAACAGAGATTACTATGAGCAATTGCACGAGATAAATCGGACCCATGTAGATGACTATTACGGCCAGTGCTCCAATCGCGGCTACCAGCAGCAACATAATGAGAGTGAGACGTCGCAGAAATCGGCCAATCGTTCTCCAACGACTTGTACTCGCGTTGAGATCTCTTTCTAATCTCAATGCTGCGCTCGCGCTGGCACGTGTTGTCTGGGCGTCCTGGTGCGTACCTGATGGTGCATTCGCTATGTGTCCCACTCCGGACGTTGCCCTCGAGACATCACATCTATTAGCGCTGTTCTCATGTAGTGGTGTCGGCGCCGATGCCAACGCCGAAACCGACGTGGACGTCGACGCCGACACCGGGGATGTCCCTACAAACCGGGTCTCGCCGCGCTCGATATCCTGCAATATGATCTTTGTGAATAATTCCAAAAGTAATTACATGAAAAAAAACGGCAAAGACTTCATCTAACAATTTCCTTCCAACTATTGAGTTTCAAACAGAATGCCCTTGGGAGCAACAAATACAAATTGACACAAGAGACATCATTCTATCCTTGTTCAATAATCAGTAAGAAACAAAGACAGAATGATTCTTGTTTTGATTTGTGCTTCTGCTAGAATTCTTTTATATGACCTTTCAACTTGCAAGTCATTCACATGATAATGTGAATTTATCAAGTTGTGTAGTTTTCTATAACATAACACATAGAATGAAATTAGTGGAACAAAACTAATAATTATTCAGTCAAATACATAAGACTGATGTGAAATTTTTTTTATCCCTTTATATTTTTTTTTATCCTTTTATATATTTTTGTAACATTAGCAAACAAGAGTTGACATCTTATCTCTATAATATAAGTCTTTGATTATCGAGGTAGATTACGAAAAATTTGAGACTTGTAAAAAAACAGGTCAAATATTTTTCTTTCCACTTTGGTTTGAAATATTCTCAGCTTCATGTATTTTCAAGTTTTCCAGTCGTTGACTGACTAGAGCACACTGTAGGGTTTCTAACTTAGCCGACTACTTTCTAACAATTTAGTTTCTCCTATCACTGTATTTTTAGCAGAATATGACCCAGTTCGGCTAAAATAATCTGATTTTACACATTGATATTGTACTATTATCTACCTGTTACTTTCCTTTATAAAAATGCTAAACTGCAATCCAATAGATAATTAATATCTATCGCCTTTCAAATTTAAAGTGTGCGAATTATATATTTTAAAAGATATAATTATGTGTATTATGTGTGTATATACCGTGTACGGATTTGAGTATCTCAAGTTCTCACATTTCTTTTTGTACGTAGATCTTTTCCTTTGTCGTTTTAATCGAGTATCATTTTTTTTTCGTTACAAATACATAAATACTATTTTAATATTTCGCTTCTAATTAAGAAACTATGTTTTTAATCTTTGATATTTGGACACAGCTTTGTAATTGACAAGGTCCGAATGTCAAAATAAGATATATGGCACCATCTAACGTAGCTTGCTAGAAGCTGATTGCAAATTTTCGTTAGCGTTCTCGCTATCGATAAGTTCATGTATTCTGCATCATTAACGCTTGTCACTTTTTTAACACTGTTCAATTAAGAGCATTTCCAGATCGAAACAAATCGTACTGAATTATTCCGTGCGTCGCATGCTATACTTACTACAAAGACAGAACCATATTTCCACGCAGCATGTGTCTTAAACGAAGCTAGCACGCATTTTTGCAAAATTCTTTTAAATCGCGTGTTTGCCGCGCATGAAATATGTCACACTCGAATCGCCATCGAGAATGTTGCTGCCTTCACGATATTAAGTTACTTGACGATTGACATATTCGCACGAATGTATAAAAGATTACTTGAAGGCTTTGTATAATTGGAGGACAGTTTGTAGCAGATTTCACCTAACAGAAACCTCCAGGTCTCCATATTCCGTACTATAATCAATAATACGATGATACTGCTATCTCGTGGTGAAAAACAGTATTTTTTAAATAATGATTAATAATAGGATTTGATTTTGATTCATATTCTAACATATGCATGTATGTATGTACCTTGGTATGTACTTGGTATTGCACTTTTTTGTTTTTGTAAAAATACGTTCCCTTAAATAATTATTATATTACTCTGTGAAAAAAACTATACTTGATTTAATTTTGAAAAAGTATATATCGATTAAGTGAAACGTCCACATGTATATAAAAGTAATTAAATATTAATTCAATATTTAATAATAATATATCATAG